CCCCAAAACCCCAAAACCCCGCTACTAAAAAATAGAGATTTTTAGGTAAAATTAAAATAATAAAAAAAATTAATTAATGTACTCTCTTTCTTCATTTATAGCTATTTTACCCATTAACTAATCCATCAATATCTTCAATTCTTTTTATTCAAAAACTTACTAGCAACACAAGCTAATATATTTATTATCAAAATGGCTACAATGGGCGTATTTTTATTTTTTGCTTCGACCAAAATAGGGATGAAAATGTTTACAATTTTAGAAAGAAATCCACAAATTCCATAACTAGTTGATAATATATTTGAATCAAAAAGTTCTACATGAGAAACAAAAATAGCTGAATAAGCAATACAAACAACAAATTTCAAAATGAAAAATAAGAATGCATATAAGACCACTGAAATTGTAAATTAATCTAGTATTAATATCAAGGATAATAGGATTGCACAAACCCCGTAAGAGTAGATCATATTTTTCAACACTCCAAACTTAAAAGTTAAATAGTCAGATGCAATATACCCCAAACATGAGAATCCCATCGCAACTCCTGTTAGGAATGGATCACCTGGCAAATATTTTATGAAAATTATGAAAATAAAGAAGGTTCCACTAGATGAGACCCAGCATATTCCAAGAAACAGAAGGTTCAATAAAGTTCGAGGGTTTGATATCAATGTTTATATTGCATTTCTTCCTTAATTTACACTTTCCTAATTCTAAGCATCATAGTCTAATTGGTATCTCTTAAACTCATTAAAGTTTTACTCAATCTCTTGACTCTACCTCAAAGGAACTTTGTTAGTAGATAATATATGCTTCAGATCTCTCTCAGCGTTATCAAATTTCTTTTATGATATATTGAATCTAAGTGACTCTGGAAAATAAAAACTGTGTAAGAGTACCAAAGCAGATATAGACATTGCAAAACCCACGTATAAAAATAGATTCGTATTTTTAGTAACATATACCATAATAAGTGGGGAGATTATAAAAATGCATGAATCATAGCAAAATAGAATTCCAGTTACAAATGATGCTCTCTTTCCCATTAGCTCAACTAGATGAGTGTATGAGATAAAATTCTTATTGTTAAAGGTTATTCCTAGAAAAAAAATGGAGCCATAAGCTACTAGATAAGATGGAAAAATTATCATCATCAAGTAAGCCAAAATTTGAATGTAAACCCCTATATAAGTGAAAATTCTTCTGCCATATTTATCAGCAAGCGTTGGGAAAAGTACACTAGCAAAAAGTTAACCGATCATATCTATTGAGGCAAACATTCCTATTATATATTGTTCAGAACAGTGCAAATTCATTTTCACCATCCAATTGTCTAAAGTTTTAGGACTTCTATCGTTAACTCTCCATTAACTGATATCTCCTTTTTAATTGCACACTTATTCTCTTGAACATGAATTCCACTCTTTAGTAGCTGAGTCTTCGCAAAGATAATCTGGGTACATTAGTATAAAGCTGAAATTGTAGGTTAGGACAGCTACAGTACTAAAATGGAGGAAAATTGAAGCACTAAATAAGTAGTGAAATTTCCCAATAGGAATCATGTTGATAACTTCGTCAAATGATGTGATTTATATTAACGTATTATTTTCTTTTTCTTTCAAAGGGGATTAAAGCAGTTTATTTGGCTCTAAATTAGTATTCTTAAGTTCTAGTTCCATAAATTTTAGTGGTACAGTATTTTAAAATTATTATAAATCTGAATTTAAACTTGAAATCTTATTCTTCTCTTCTAATAAAAAGAATGTATTTTAACTAAACTATTTTTTAATTGAAATTGGCTGAACGGGGTTTTGGGGTTTTGGGGTTTTGGGGTTTTGGGG